TGAGTTCCAGGATAGCCAGGCTATGTAGAAAGACCCAGTCTCAAAACAAAACAAAACAAAACAAAACAAAAATGAGAAGCACTTAAAGAAATGCTCAACATCCTTAGTTATCAGGGAAATACAAATCAAATGATTCTGAGATTCCATCTCACTCCAGTCAGAATGGCCAAGATCAAAATCTCAAGTGACAGCACATGCTGGCAAGGATATGGAGAAAGGGGAACCCTCCCCTATTGCTGGTGGGTGTGCAAACTTGTACAACCACTTTGCAAATCAATCTGGCACTCTCTCAGAAAATTGGGAATAGCTCTTTCTCAAGACCCATCTATACCACTTCTGGGTACATACCCAAAAGACCATCCACCATACAACAAGGACACTTGCTCAACTATGCTCATAGCTACTTTATTTGTAACAGCCAGAATCTGAAACAACTAGATGTCCCTCAATCGAAGAATAGATAAAGAAACTGGCATGTTTACACAATGGAATACTATTCAGCTATTAAAAACAAAGAAATCATGAAATTTGCAGGCAAATGGATGGAACTAGAAAAGATCATCCTGAGTGAGGTAACCCAGACCCAGAAAGACACACATTGTATGTACACACTCACAAATGAATTTTAGCCATATCCAGGATAAACATACTACAAGGCACAGACCCAAAGAAGACAAGTAACAAGGAGGATCCAAGGGAGGATGCATAGATCTCACTCAGAAGGGGAAACAGAATAGACAAAGGTAGTGGCTGAAGAAAGAGAACAGGGTAGGAGAGGGGACACAGAGAGTTAAGAGTGTGGAGATCAGACCTGGGGAGAGCGAGGACAAGAGGACAGAAGGCTATAGAGAAAATAGAAACTGAGGGTGGGGACATCAGTGTGACAAGCTGAAGACCTAAGTCAGGGCAGGCTCCTGGGAGGATATGAAGGGGACTCAAGCAGAGACTCCTAGTAGCAGAGGTCACAGAGACTGAAGAGGACACTCACTAATTAGACTAGTCTCCTAGCAGAAGAAGGGGAACACCAACCCACCCACAAAAACTTTGACTCCAAATTTACCCTGCCTACAAGATGTGCAGGGGTAAAGAAAGAGCAGAGCGAACAAAGATTGATGGAATGTCTAACCAACGTTTGGACCAACCAAAGACCCACCCTATGGGAGAGTGCCAACCCATGACACTAAGCTTGCAGACAGGAAACTGTCAGAGTCGTCCTCTGAGAGGCTCTACCCAACAGCGCCTCCAAACAGATGCTAAGACTCACAGGCAAACATTGGGCGATGCATAGGGAGTCTTGTGGAAAAGAGGGAAGAAAGAGAAAAGGACCTGGAGGTGACAGGAGTTCCACAAGAAGATCAATAAAGCCAACTAACCAGGGCCCAGAGGGGCTTGCTGAGATTGAAGCACCAACCAAGGACCATGCACGAACTGGGTGATAACATAGTGAGACTGAGTCTAAAAGGGGTAGGAATGAAGGAAGAAAGAAAGAAAAACATAAAAAGGGCTAGAAATGTAGCTCAGTGTGCTTTCCTAGGACACAGAGCCCTGGGTTTGATCCGTAGCATTACATAAGCTAGGCCCATAACCCCAGAAAATGGAGATAGGTACCTTTTGGGGTTGGGACCAGTCATTAGAAAGGCTAAATTAAGGTGCCTCAATTATTATCTCTGTGCCTTCAGCCTCAGTGGGGTTCCTTACCACTGGTTTTTGTGTAAATACTCCTTAAGTGATGGACATCCATACCTACATACAGAGGCAAGCAGGTGACTCAAGTAAAAGTGACAGTCACTAAGTGAAGGCAGAGATTACCTTGAGTCATCCTGTGTTTAGCTTCCTTCTTTGTTGTTTATTCTTTTTTTTTTTTTTTTTTTTTTTTTGAAGACAGGTCTTGTGTATCCCAGGGTGGCCTCTAACTCTGTGACACAACACCTGATTTTCCTGTGGTCCTGGGCACAAACTCTGTGCTTCACACACTTTAGAGAAGCACTCTGCCACCTGAGCTATACCACAGATGTTTACCTTGAAAGCCCAAGTGGAAAGTCACTATTTTAGTTCTATGTTGGTTGGTTGGTTGGTTGGTTTTTAACAAAAGCAGTTTCTATAGCAGAAGGATATGTTCTGAGATGGAAGGCTGTTGTTTTTAACAAAATCTCAATTGTTCGATTTTTACCAATGAAGACCTGGGAGCCAGATGCTGGGGTGAAAGCTCTCTTCTAGCTCAGAGAGGCAGAGAAAGCACCCAGCTGACCCTCCTCAGCCAGTGTCCCAGAACAATGCCATCTCTCCCACACAGTCTCAAAACCGCCCTCAAGCTGAATGTCCCCACCTTCTATAAGTCTCTCTACCCTAACTTCCTCTTCCTCTCTATGGTTTTTCTTACTAAACCTATGTTCACTTCCTGTCAGCTGCTTGGTTGCTCCGCCTCTTGAACTATGGTTGGCTTTATTTAATCCCGTTTACAATATTCAAGCAGAAAACTCTTGGATTAAAAGTGTGTGCTAAAGCTGAGCCACACCACAACTAGAAAGAGGTTTTTGTTTTTTTGTTTTGTTTGTTTTTTTTTTTTTCAGTAAATAACACAATCTCGGAGTTCACAGTGTGATCAAACATCCTGCAAGAGAAAGCCACCCTATACAAAGTAGGGGTGTGTGTGGAGAAGTCAGGGGATAATTTGCAGAAGTCAGTTCAATCCTTCCTTCACGTAGGTCAAGGTCGGATCATCAGGCTTGACAAGTGCTCTTACCCACTGAGCCATCTCCCTGGTCCCTAGAGGCTTTTGCTTCCCCAATCATTAGAAAGGACAACACTGGGTGTCCCTTTCATCACTACGAATGCCAGCTGGGATGACCAGACGGGACCTGACCACAGTAGGGCCAGCCTGCCAGACCCGTTTCTAAGCTTAGGATCTGGGTATGAGACGCCACCACGGAAAAAATTGATCTGCTCTAGCTCTTCATGCAGCTCCAAGAAAGAGCATTCAACCTTCCTGTTTCAACCGAAGTTCAGAGTTGCCCAGGTGAGAGATTGCCCACTTACATTCTATTTTACTGAGAAATCATAGAAAAAAAAATAAAAGTACATTTAATGGGAGACTGGAAAGATGTCACCCTGGTTAAGAGCACTGGGTGCTCTTCCAGAAGACCCTGGGTTCAATTTGCAGGCCCTGCATAGTGGATAGCAACCATCTATAACCCCAGTTCCAAGGGATCTGGCGCCCTCTTCTGAATTCCGGGGCCACTGCATGCACATGGTACAGACAGAAATGCATGCAAAGCACACATACATATAAAATAAAAATTTTAAACTTAAAACAACAAGAGTACTATAATCTTACTATGACAGGCATGGTGGAAAATACCTATGACCCCAGCCTCTGGGAGGCAGAGGCAGGAGGAATGCCACAGCCTGGTCTACATATTAGTTCTAGTCTAAATAAATAAATAAAAATAAAAAGAGAGGGAGGGCTGTGGAAACGGCTGCACGCACCTGAGTCCAGAGCCCTCGCACCTGTGTCAAAAGTTGTCCCGCCCCCTCCGCACCCGCAATCTGTAATCCTAGTGCCAAGGAAGCAGTGGGGTGGATAGCCTCTGAGAGCGCATTAGCCAGAGAGCCCTGTAACCCTTCGTCAAAAACGTAGATCGGGATAGAAAGGGACCCACATACACATGCTGTGCACACACAGTATGCATGTGCCACACACACACACACACACACACACACACACACACACTAACATCCACATACAACATACACACAACTAAAGTACAAGTGTAGCTATCTATCCCGGATACTTACTGCTGATTCCTGGGACGCCGCCTCAGCTGAATTTCGGAAAGGGTACTTTAGATATGTTGGTAGAGTATGAGCTCAAGGCTTTTCACAAGCAACAGACAAAATCAGTCTTTGGCCAGTTCTCACAGCCCAAGAGCGGCTGAGAATAACAATGAACAAACTGGCTTATTGGATCAAGTGTCACTTTAGAGATCTCTTCCCAACTTGACCCAAGTGTTCTGTGACTTCTTAGCCTATTTACAGGTCGGTGCAGCCATGACCAAAATCAATTCAGAACATTTTCATCACTGCAAAAAGAAACCAGAATTCCTCCCCTTCCCTGGCATTCCTCAGTCCCAGCATTTACCAACCACGAACGTACTTGTCTCTTTAGTTGTGCCAATTCAGGGCATTTCCTTACGACCTGGGTCATAAAAAGCGTGTCTGGTTCCTAATATTTAATTCAAAGCTTTTTCATATGACAGAGTGTTCTTGTTTCTCTCCCTTTTATTTTTTGTTTGTTCTTTTTTTTTGCTGTCCCGGAACTTGCTCTATAGACCAGGCTGCCTCTGCCTCCTGAGTGCTGGCATGAAAAGACATGTGCCACACCTCCGGTCTGTTCTCACTTTTTGAGTATTGAATCTTGCGGATTTGAGATAACATTTGTGTAACGCTTTTGTGTGGTTGTGTGGCTTCGTTTCTTTTGACTGTATAGCTAGAAGTGGTTATATGGTAACTACCTCTTGTGTTTAATGTTCTGAAGAACTGTCCAATTGTTTCCCCAAGCAGCTGCCCCACTTTAACAAGGCCGTCGCGGGGGTGGGGGGGGTGGGGGGGAGAGAAAGCATTTGCCCTAGCTTTCCAGAAGAGGCCCTTCCAGTTCTCCACCTCCAGCTCCAGCTCGGCCTCCGCACAGCTTCGAACTGTCTCCCTTCTCAAAGTCCCGGCCTAAGGCAACCAAAACTCTACAGAGTTGTAGGAAATAGTTTCGTTTTGATCCAGGCCCGCCTCCTGGTTGCCGCTAGGCCTCAGGAAAACAGCTTAGGCAGCGGAGGCTACCTGGACGTCGTAGTTCTCGTTCCAGTCGGCTGCGCAGAGACTATGCGAAGAAAAACTACAACTCCCAGAATGCCACTGTGCTATGGCGGCCGAAGGGACCAATTGGCCTGCAGAGCCCCGCCCCCCTCGGGTTGGGCAGCTTGCCAGCGCTTCTGTAAACACGCCCGGAGCCTGTCATGGGGCGGGTGGAGGAGGCGGTGGCTGAGCGGGGAGGTGCCTGGGGCAGCCTCCAGGGTCCGCTCTACCATTCCTGAACTGGTCCGGGTCCCCGTGACCGCAGCTTCGGGGAAGCGAACTGTTAGGCTTGAAGGAGGAGGCAGTAAAAGCCATATCCCCTTCTTCCCCGGGGCGGGGGCCGGGCCTGGCCCGCTGAGGAGGGGGAGGGCCGGGAGGGCGCCGGGCCGGGCCGGCCTGTCTACGGAGATGGATGACAGCAAGGTAAGTCCTGGGCTGGCCGCCGCCGCCGCCTGCTTGTCGCCGCACATAGTCTCGCCGCCCAGCTTCAGTTCAGAAGTCCAAGCGAGCACTCACCAAACACCTGCCATAGATACCAGTGTGCCTCAAGCCCCCTAGTATCCCGCCAGGACACTGGGGAGCATCGGGCTGCAGTTTTCTAGCAAGGGCCCTAGCCCTTGCAAAAATTTCACTCCCGGGGTAACCGTGTTTGCTAGGGGTCCCAAGGAGTGCAAGCCTTCTCTGACATGCAGGTCGAAATAAGTGAAGAAACTACAGTGCTTTCTTTTTGCCCGGTCTTGCCCCTCCCAGCGTTTTCCAGTTGAGAGAGATTAATTCGTGCGTCCTGAAGTAGGCATAATCACTCTTGATGTTTTTCCCTCCTTGCCTCAACCTCGCTTACTCAATGCCCCATTCATCTCATCAGTTCACATCCCCCCGCCCCTCCCCGGCTCCCCCACCCCTGCTTAGTTTCTGTTGCTGTCAGGCCAGAGTCTGTAATTTAACCTCTACAAACCTTTAAGAAAAACAGTATTTCCCCCCCCCCCTTTTAAATCCAAGTTAGTGTCCCATACCCCGCCTTTAAAAAAACAACAACAAAACAAAAAACAAAACAGAAAGCCTCTAGAGCACTTACTTTTATGACTATAAAATAGCGCTCATTGTGGGTTAACATGGGTATGTGGTTCTACTCCTATTACTCTAAACATTTCATGAAGATAGGAGTGGTCAGAGAGCTTCCCATTAACATCTTTAGATGTCTGGAAGACATTATAATGTCTTATGATGTCTGCCTTTCATTTTAAGGAATCAAACGTTTAAATTTCTCTCTGGAGCTCGGTCTTGTGTAGCCCAGGCTAGCCTCAGCTCCCTCAGGAGCAGAGGATGATCTTCAGCTGATCCTCCTGCCTCTCCCACCTGCCAGGGGCTGGGACGCACAGTGGGAACCTCGTGCCCAGCACACAGTTTCTCAACATTTAAGCCTTTCCTTCCCAGTGCTTTTTACATTTTTTTGTTTCACATATCCTGGGACAGGTAGAGAGAAAAATTCAGTTTATCTTGCCTGGTTGTTTCATTCTTTATGACTGCTTCCTGTTTATGTGGACTTCTCTGAGAAGAGTGTTAGAGGGAGAGCCCAGCATTGTAGTCTGCCTCCTGGACACACCTAGGAGAACCATTTGCTTCGGAAGTGACAAACCCTCCTCTGACAGGAAGTGGTATTTTCAAAATAGAAAGGGAGAGTTCTGAAAGTTTTCCAGAAAATATTTTTCCAGCCTCTGCTACCTTGATCTTTCGGTGCCCATTCTGAAATGAAGTCTGCAAACTATATCCATTATCTTCCCAGAAAATAATCCAAAGGATGCAGAAAGAATGTGGTATTCCTCTTTCTCAACTGGAAACTTTCACCTTCTATTTTTTTTCTCAGTTGTATAATTTTCAGCTGTATCCTATGCCAGACCTTTGAAGTATCTAGCAACTTCGTTAAGGTCTCCAGTATTTCCAAAAAAAAGTACATAGGATTTTGAAATACTTATCAAAAGCTCACATACAGTTTTTTGTTTGTTTGTTTGTTTGTTTGTTTGTTTGTTTTTGAGGGGAGTGTTTGTTTTTAGAAAAAGAGGCTCTTATGGCTCAGGTAGCTCAGGTTGGCCTCCCAATTTTCTGTGAAGGCAAGGATGACCCTGAACTTCTTGGTCCTTCCCCCTCCACCCCAGTCCTGGGATTTCAAGTTTGTGCTAGCATACTTGGGTTGATGTGGGGCTAGGGTTTGAACCTGGGGCTTTGAGCATGCTAGGCAAGCACTCTACTGACTGAGTTATGTTCTCAGTTTCACAGAGGTTATTTCTGAACGTGATAGTGGGGCTAGAGGAAATGGAAAATTTTATTGAGTAGTATCACTTAAAATGCTAGGTATTTTACTAATAGTGGTTCTTTGAAACTTTGGGATTGCCCAGATGTGTCCAGACTTCGTTAACTGATGTGTTCCAGGTGTGTTCATCAGCCAGGGCAGACCTATTGTTGCAGCTGGGAAAAAATACAGCACAAGCTAGAATCTAGATGATAGAGTTAACACCTAGAAAGGAGGGCTTGGGCAAGTGCTGAGAAGCAGAATCAAATATTGATTTCCTAGAGTCCTATTGGGTTAGTGGAAGGGAAAACTACTTGCTGAAGCTCTCTGAGCTTCTACCTAGTCTTTGAAGTGAGGCCAGTCCTCTCCTTGCTCAGGCAGGCTTCAAGGTGATACACCTAAGAGTGTTCAGTGTTGAGTCCCACACAGAATCAGTACTCAGCAAACACAACCTTATCATTTTATTGAGCCGAGAAGTCTGTGGGTTCTGACATTCTTGTTTTAGTCGTTGCTAAGTGACATCTATATGGAGCCATGTTTTAGTGCTCTAACTATACCCAAGACAGGACAAGAGTGGCATGATGGGACATCAAATGAACTTGAGCCCAGCCCTTACCTGTTACACTGTGTAACAAAGGTCACTTTCCAAGGCCTCCTTCCTGTCTTCCACTAGGAAGAAGTGGTTTGTTTTTAACCTCTTTTTGACCCACAGTCTTGAAAGAAAATAGAAATGTTTATTTTCAATCACAGAATGCTCTTGTTTTTATTTTTACTTCTATGTTTATTTACTGAATATATGGAAATATTCTAAATCAGACATGTTCTTGTCAGCCTAAAGGCTGAAACCCAGGCAGATCAGAAGTGTTCAAGATTGCTGGCAGTCCAGGTATGGTGGCACAAGCCTTCAATCTCAGGCAGAGGTGGGTGGGTCTATATGTGAGTTTCAGGTCAGTCATGACTATGTAGTGAGACCCTTTCTCACATAAATAAAATAAAGAAGTTCAAGGTTATTGTCAGCTTGAGGTTGGCCCAGGAACACATGAAACCCTCCTCAAATTGAAAAACAAAAAACAAAACTCACACCTACCAAGAACAGTTTCAGCAGAGAGATAGGGCAGAAGCCAAACCATGTCCATTGTGGAAGAAACAGATGGCCCACAAGTGCCACAGTAAGTATAGACCATGGAACCAAGGAGGTTTTGCTGAAGTTCACACAGTGTTAACGGTACAGTACTACTTAGCTCCGGGGGCAAACAGAATAGCTGTGTGTGGCCCCAGGGTAGACTTTGGGTGGAAAGGGGAATGTAGGCGTTAACACTGGCTTTAGAGATGCCTGCCTGCATTTTCTTCTTTCTCCTGACAGGAAAGGCTGGCACAGTGTTTAGCAGCAGGAAGACGTGGTTGCACTCTCTTGCCTTCCGAAACTGGTTAAAAACAAAAGTCCTAAGCCACACAGTGAGGGAAGTCCCTCAGAGCCAGCGCTGAGAGAGACACACACTCCTGCTGTTTGGTTTCTTTAAGGTGGAGAAGGCAGTGGCTAGGACACAGCTCTCTCCTTTAGCCAGCAGGCTGTATCACTTAGCTTTTTGTTTGGCCTTGCGGCTGCAGCACACGTCATATTAGTGCAGTGGTTTTTTAACAACTGGATCTTTAAGGAGTTGTCTTAAAAATGAGCATTATAAGCCAGAGATGTAATTCTAGCACTTGAGAAGCTGAGGCAGAAGGAATGTTCTGAGTTCAAGGCTATTCTGGGCAACAGAGTGAATTTAGGTCTGCCTGGGCAATCTCAAACAAACAACCCAAAACCACTAGAGCATTTGAGTGTAAATAAATGCCTGAAAGATGGCAAAATAGAGTTTTATAGTATTTGGTCAAAGTGGATACTGAGTATAGGAATAAATTTTTGCCTCTTCCTGCAAGGAGCCTGAAGTGATCTGTGAAAATGGTTCGTTGTGCTCTTGACCCAGAAACTTTACAAAATCATGCAAACCAAGTGGCTGGAATCTAGGGTCAGAAGAGATGGCTCAAGTTGATCAGAGCACCTGAGTTCAATGTCCAACACCAGCAGGGTGACATATAACGATCTGTAACTCCAGTTCCAGGGGATCCCGTGCCTCTTCTAGCCTCCAAGGACATCAGCCACTCATGTGATTCACAGACTTACATGCAAGCAAAACACCCATACAAATAAAAAATAATTAAAACATTTTTTTAAGGTTCAAGTCTTCACGTTCACTTTAATATCACCTCTGAAGCTGCCCTGGGCATGAGAGATTTGCATATCTGAAGAGCCACCAAGCATCTGAAAGAAATCGCTTTAAAGCAGCAATGTGTGCCATTTCTGTAGTATAATAGAGCTGGTAGCTGTGCCCAGGCCAAACAGTAAGACAATTTACTGCACATATTTAGAAGTTCAGAGGACACTTAAAAACTTAGGGGTTTAGAGGTAAATTCTCTAGTCACTGAACACAACTAGCTGAACAAAGCACCCAAGATTATTAACTCACGAGTGAGTGCCTCCTGCTCTGCCAAACTGCGATGATTCTCACTGAAAATGAACAACTTGTTCCAAAGCCAGAAGAGGAGGCTGCACAGAAAAAAAGATTCCAGAAGAAACCAAAGAAACAAAGACTTGTGGCATGGAAACAAATTCAGCATAAAATATGCAAATAAAAGTTTGTTTTGTTTTTGTTTTTTAAGGAATGGATTTCCCTTCTTCACCTGAAAAGGATGACAGAGATGTTCGTGTGAAGGAGTGTGGCATCATGAGATAGTAGAGAGCTCCTCACTCAAGGCTGAGTTTATAAACAGTGCTTTCTCATGCACATACTGGTTTAACCAAAAAAAAAAAAACCAAACCAAAACAAAACAAAAAAAAGTGTTTATTTTTCCTAAAATACTGAAGAGTCTTTGGAAGAGGATGAGGGTTCCTGAGTTTGAGATGCCCAGTGAGCTCCCAAAGAACACAGAACTGCAGTTAGGTCCCCACTCACTGCAGAAGTTAAAGCTGCTGCTGAAGCAGGAGCTATCGGGAATATCCTCAGGTCTTGCAGACTGGCTTCTCTCTGTCTCCCTTGGCTGAATATTGTCTTTTTAAACTGATTTAATTAGAACACTTAGGATTCTCCTGGCCATA